ATATAGATACATAGTTGGAAAGTTTTTAATAAAGCAAATCTAGTTCTTAGACATTTTTGTACTAAAGTGTTTCAGTGCTACTGTGTCAACTTCAGCTTGTTTTGATCTCTTTTTTTTACCTGCTGAAAATTCATGTCTCATGTCTAAGACAGGATTTTCAAGTACTTTGCCTTTGTTTTTTTTCTTGCTTGTGTTTTTATAATATTTTTATTGTTATTAGTTTATTAAGCGTTCCCTAATGCTTATACACTTCTGTGAATGTGATTTACTGCATGCCATCGTTTCTAAAAGGGCTGTTCTATCAAATGGTTATCTTTAATCAGTGAGTCTGATAAGCTGCATGTGATTATTGGCAAAGTTTTGGGTACCTTCTTAAGTGTCTGAGTTGAATACCATAAAATAGATCCTAATGTGAGATCTATTCTGAACTTGTAGCTATTGGTCAGTAAGGATTTGATTTCTTTATGCAGTTGTATTGGTGGTTGGGATTATTCCATGTGCTGGTACTTCCGTGCCAGGAGTTTTACTTTGTGGAAAAGGAACTCACAATCAGTTAATGGATGTTCACATTCAAAGAATCAGCACAAGCAGAAAGAAAATTGCTTTCACCCAGAGTGCTGGTGTTCATATTATGACTACAGATATCTTTTTTTTGAACAGGTGGAGACTCTTTAACAGCAAACCTTAGGTTACATGATCATGGTCTTGCATTTTCAGGTTCCTTTCGCAGGCCTCTTCAAAGTCACTCATGGAATTTGCAAATTTTTTATTCTGCAAAACACAAATTGAAAGCAACTGCAGCACTACAGGCTATGGAAAGAGAGGGAAAATAATACGGGACAGTTAGGAATCCAAATTTGGAATTCAGAGTAAGGTCGGATCTGCTTCTTTGCACAGATGTAGGGATACTAATGATGAATTCCTAATACCTTCCTCTTTGTTGGCAATGACTTTGTGTACTTGCAAGCAGGACTGTCTGCCTGACATATGGATGTATGGTGCACTCACGCTGTTTTTAAGTTCCTGCTGAGCCCTGAACTTCAGCCTGGGAAGGAATCCCTTATCTGCCCAGGTATAAGGTAATGCCCACAGACAGCTTGTGGCACTGTTGAGGCCTCTTCTGTGGAAGATGATTGGCCTTTCAACAATATAAGGCTCTAAAAGTTTTCAGGAGGGTTTTTCCTTACAGAGCTGCGATATGTGGGTTACTAGTTTCATAGTACATTGTAAAATAATGATCTTTACTGCTGTAGAAAGTTCTCTTAAGTTCCTGAAAAGTTGCATGTCCTCCCTAAGAAAAAGCAAATAAAAATGAGAAAAAATATGCATCAACTTGAATAAGAATCACCATCTTAAGGTACACAGTGAAATAGACACAACGTTGGAGAGCAGAGAAAGTAACAAATCTAATTAAAATGTTTTTTCTCCTCTTTACAGTTACTGTCTCTTGTTGTTCACGTATACTTGTTGAGCTTGCACATAAATAAATGATGGATTGACTCAGTGAACTCTGTAATAAATTGTTTGATGTGCTATCTTGAGAAAAAATCTTTTGAAACTGTCTCTTTTCTTTGTCTATTCACCTTGTGGCTCTTGATATCTCGCTTCCCATCTGTCTGATTCTGCCAGAGTCTGAGCATAGCTTTTCAGACCTTAATGCAGGTTTCTTTTTGGTCTGGTTTAGTTAAGTATATAACAAATGTGTGATTTGGCTGTCAAGAGTAATATCAGAAAGGAATCTTAAGGTGTGTTGCTTTTACTGATGTGGAATAGAGAAATGCTTATCTGTAGAGATGTGATTATACATTTATGTATGTAATCTGCCTCTGCAAGCAAATGAATGCAGAATGTCTGTATTACTGTATTAGATATGCTTTAATGTTACCAGTCCAGAGGTTACTTTTATGGATCTCTTATTACTAAAAGAGATGATTCAAGAAAACAGTTTTAAACCCATATTTAAAAATCTGTAACTGAACAGGTAATACAGATCAATCTTCAGTTTGAGAAGTTAAGTTGTAGCTGTTCTGTGCAGGAATTGCATCTAAGCTATGAGATCTTTTCTGAGTCTTGAAAAACAGAGGAGTTTGGAGAAATACTGGTTTTGTTAAGAGTATTTCTATGGGGGATATATCATATCTATAGAAATGTTTTTTGAGTTGTCATTTATAATGCTTTTAGTTAGAAGTTTGCTTAACTGTAAGACATAGATGGATCAGTTCTGGGTTTCTTATTAAGGACATAAAGCATTAATGCTGGAAGATCTTATAGATAGTGTTATGTCAGTGAGCATAAAGCTTTGATGAGATCAAGGGGAGTGAAATGAGCCAGGAAAAGAAAGAAACGTAAAAGCAGAGTATTCCTGGGACTGCTGTAACAGTTTCATGAGATTGTAGGAGTAGCAGCAAATGTTCTAAGTCTGCTAAATTCATTACACAGTTATTACTAATGGGGCAAAATGCCACAAAGTTTACTCAACTAAGTATGTGAATGCATAAAACACAAAGTACTGGAATACTTACTTTGATGTGGTCAATAGAAGTTTCATTGTATAATAATGATGATAATAAAAATAATACTTCCTTTTGGCTGGGTAATTCGACTGTAAACAAGGTATGCAACTCAGAAGAAATTCAAAAGGAATTTGAAGCCTTTTTCCTTCACGATTTACTGAAGAAAAATTGTAAACAATTTTAGCAAGATACATAGATGTATGTATTAAAGCAAGAGATGAACACATTGACTGAAAGGAAGATGTTTTTCAGACTGAGGCCTTAACATGCTCCAGGCAACTTATAGTTCTGTACATGCAGTCTTTGACACCTCCTGACTTCCCTGGTGTTTGCTGGCTGTTGCTTCTGAAACAAGCCTTTAGGGTGTAATTCCAGTGCCCAGGGAATGCTGTGTTTTAAATCTTTTCTATTGTATTGGGTACAGTTGCTTTGGAGAAATGTATATCTGTTTGTTTTCCACTGTTAAAAGAATGATATACATCTCAAGCAATTTGCAAAACTGTTAAAAATATCTATTATTTTAAGGTTAGAATTTTTCTTGTGGAACATCTATAGCATAGACAGCAAGTAAGTGGAATGACATCTCAACTTGATTGAATCTGATATGGATGTGGTAGGATTTCTGATGTGCACAGTTCCAATTCACTATGTCTTTCTCACAATTAAGATTTATCTAGCATTTCCATCCAAAAGTGGGCAAAGCTAAATAGACAGGATGCTCCTGTCTTAGTCTGTTGTAGTGGATGCTTCTCATCCGTGGGTGAGATCTGTAATACTGCAGTTGTGTAGTGCTGCACACAACTAAGAACAACATCTTGCAATTAATATAGAATGAATTTTGTCATTGCATGACCATTTGCTGTGGTAGAAAATATCACTGTGGTGTTACCTCAGATTGAAAAATAAGAGCAACAGTGAGATTAGGATATATGTTATCAATAAATAATATGCTTTTGTGACTCATCTAACTGTAATAATAGTGTTTTGTTCTGTGTTACTGAGGACGGTTGCAAGCCAGAAGGAAAAGTCCTTTCTACATACTTCACAGGTCCATTTCCTTTATTGCTGAGACTTTCCAGCAGATCTCCTACTGAGGGCCAGAATAGATGGTGTTTAACAATTTAGCTGAATGAAGTGACACTGATATAATAAGCTGCAGCTGAAACACAGCTACAAAGTGTTTTCCAACAGTTCTCAGGAATAGTGTGTTGTATTTCTAGTTAGTAGTGTTTCGGAAGCAGTTAAATTATCATTTGCTGTACATCTTCCTTAGGTTTTCTGCCAGTCTCAATCAACATAAACTTGATTTACTATTATGTGTTTGCTTTAAATATGGAACTGATGTTTGTGTATTTTGGAACTGATGTATGTGCTTTTCAGAGCACATGAAGGAGGGGAAAATGAATTTTTTTAAGGGAATTCCAATGTAATGCACATATTACTGGTGGACTTTAATTGCTCTGCATTTTGATGCAGATTAGTAGTGACAGAACAGTGTAAGCACTCATCATTGTATGAAACAGGCATCTCCTCTAGATAGAATTAAGTCGTCTTGGAAAAAAAAGTCACATAGTGAAAGCAAGCAATTTTACTTAATTTCACAAGCATTTCACAAGTATTCAAGTGTGGAAACGAATGCATCATCTGATGAATTAGTGAGAACCTAATTTTAATGCTTTAATGTGTTACTTGGCTTCAGATACAGTCCCACGCAGTTCTTCCAAAGAAACAGTGATGAAGAATCTGACAGTGACTACAGCAGAACTACTGATTTCATGCAGTACTGCATCATAAGTTTTCATTCTTTTCCTAAGATATATTTGTGCTTTACAAAATGTTTACCCCTGATATTGTGATTACTGATGTTAGTGTGCTATATTTTTCAGGCAGTCTTCTATTGGTTTTGTCTGTCTTACAATTAACTTGATAACTCATTCCTTATCTTCTAGTGTCAGATGACTTACTCAGCCTACCTCTTTGTATTGCAGGATATGTGGGAGTTGAAGAATTCTAGAATATTTTCTGTAACTCACACGTGTAGAAGGAGAACAGGAGAAAACAAAGACTGAGAGCATGTCTTTGATTTAAGCATGAGTCTGAGATTCAGGAAATGGGAATTCTAGCTCACAAATTCATTGTGTTTCTTTTCCCTTCAGAATTTGGACAAGACACTTTGTGCCTGTTGACCATTCTGCAAGATGTTTAGGGTAACACTGCCTTATTTCTAAAGGCAGTTTAATGCTAGATTTGCATGGCATTACTAGTGTTATGGAAAACTGTTTTTTACTGTATGAGTTTTACTTAATCACTTTCATATCCTTTTTCATATCTTTTTCAAGGTATTCATAATATGCAATATATAAAAGATGCTTTTGTGACATAAAATACTTTATGTAGATAAATGACATTCAAATACACATAAATCTTAAAGCAGTTGCTGGTGAACTTTGAGTTTTTTTTAATACTTTCCTTTTTTTCTATTTCCAGGTTGCATGTCTTACTCATGTAGCAGCTAATTACCTCAATTGCAAAATTGAAGCTAAACGCTGGGGTACAGCTCATGGCAGTATTGTTCCATATCAGGTAAACAAAGCATTAGCTTTATTCCGTTTTTGAGATTCATGATTTTATGTACTGTGAGATTGAGAACTGACTGACTTTTCCCATGACCTGCTGTATTCTGTAATGAATCTGAGTCTAGGTAGGACAAGGTTCTGTTGTTCATTGTAGTTTCAGCATTTTGCATATTTCTTCGTCAGCAGTAGATTAGTAACAGAACACTGAAATAGATCAAAAGGGTTTAATGAAATTGGATGACTTTAAAGCTAGCATGGTGCCTAGATTTTTTTCATCTGACAGAGAAAGCAGGTTTTTTTTTCTGCTTTAAGGATGATCTGACTTTCATACCAGTCACAAATTGAATCTTTTTGTCTCTGTAACTTATTATTTTTACCTTGTGAGTTTCCAAGAACAATCTTAAGTGGCTATGGAAGTCGGGAGCTATTGCAAATTAGACATTTTCCACTGAGTTTCCTGCAAATCAGGATCTGAATGCTCACTCAGACAACAGGTTAGAAAAAGAATTAACCAGACCTCCGATCTCCACAATGGAATTCATAGCCTGCTACATCCAATGAAAGGCTGAAATTCCTTAAAATAACATGACCTTCATCATATAAACAGGGAGAGGGAAAAAAATTTGCTGCAAGCTTTATGTTCTGGCTAGTATGGGAAACTCTTCAAGTAAACAAAATTTTGTTCTTTTCTAGCTAATTGTTTGGTTATCTTGATGAAGGTTGTATTAGCTTAGGGAGATCTGGGCATATATACTTAATCAGTCTATTCTTTTTTTCATAGTCTTTGGCATTTGTTAGCAAAACTCATGTTTGCATCCAGCTAGGCAGAATCTGGATTTCTTCATTTCTGGCTAGACACCTTTAAATCTTGATAGGGATAGTTCCCAGCATTTGTCTGGGGAAACTGGCATCTGAACACCACTCAGTATCTTCCTTGGTAGAAAATGAGAGGAACTCCATGGCAAACATCAAGGGCAGGCCCTCTCAGGTATAAAAGGCAAATCAGTTCTTTTTGTGAAGACTTTGCCTACTTGAACCAGGAGACTTTTTTCTTTTTTTTGTATGTGTCACTGCCTAATCAGTATCAATTTTTGAACCAGTTAGAGTAGATTGCAAATTGCCTCTGAGAGATGTTGAGATGATGTAGCTGTTTTTGCAATGTTGATCTTGATCCTGCAGTGTTCTTATCTCAAGTGTACTACTGTTGCTCTGGTGAACACAGCAGGATGTCCATATTTTTTAGGACTAGCTCTGCATGCTGTGTAGTGCAACGTGACCCAGCCTTACCAAGCATCCACTACGCAAGTTGTTCCACGTTTCTGTAAAGTGACCTTTTGGTGTTACCCTTTTTGAACTTTAGTATGTTGAAAGTACAAAACAGACCTGAAGTGTCTGAAGTTCGTATAAGCAAAACCAAAAACCTGACTAAACAAAACATTTTGTCTTCACCGTACTGCGTTTGGTTGAATAAATGAAGCTTGGATCCTTCTAGTACCTTCTGCCATTTTTCTTTTGTGGCTTGTCTCTTAACTTTCTATGAGCTAGCATGGCTATAATTTTGATGGTGACTTTAAATTTACTGTGCTTTCTAGAGTTTCTTTTTCACTTTACTTTGATAGTTAAGTAAGTTAAACTTTAGGAACTTTAACTAACCTTCACTGTTGTGATTATATTGCATTTATAGGTGCTTCCATACCTCGTTTGCCATATAGTTCTAGAACAAAACTCTGAAACTTGACCTGTCATAGTTATTGAATATATTGTCTTTTGCTTACTGAATTAATACTAGTTCTTATGAATGTTTGTTTCAGGTATTTTGGCCAAGTGAATGACTTAATCAAATAATAAAAATGACATTTCAGGAAATTGAACTTGCATGTAACTCAGAACAAGTATGTGGTAGCAAAATGTTGTTCCTTTCTTCCTACGGTCTCAACCTTAATTTATTCTCACTTGCTGTAGATTGTACTTGCACGTTCGTAGTGAATTGAAACTTTGAAGTGGAGCAGAGCCTGAAATCCTGCTGAAAAAATGTCAGACCATGATAAACTGTGAAAGTATGGGTTATCATGGAATATACTTTTTTAGATGTTAAGGCAAAATCTAGATATTTGTGATATCTTTTTGTGACAGAAACCTGGTCAGTCGCATTAGGAACCGACCAAAATCTTAAAAATACATGTAGAAAACATTTTAAAATATATGTAATTAGTGCTTAATTGTTTTTTAGTTGTCATGGTAAGTGTTCTAGTGCTCTGTTTAAAAAAACCAAAAAACTACAATAGCATTCAGCATATACTGCTCACTGAGTTTTAATTTCTTAAGTTTGACAAGAATATCTTTGCAAATGGCTTCATTTTCTTTTCTGTTTACAAGGCCAAATTTAGCTTTGTGTATGTAGTTAGATTTTTAACTTCACCAATTCCCTCATTACTTCTTGACTGTTACACTAGCAGCATAATTTTTTCCTGAACTGTGTTAACCCTTGACTGACCTTTCTTTTTGTATTTAAAACTAGGTTTTCTGCTAGGTTTTCTCTTTCCTGAAATCACCAGGATGTGTAGCTCCTTTGAAAATCTGGTCCTTAACCAAAGAGATGCAGAGTTTGGAGAAGGATTTTTATACTCTTTTAAAATTTTTTCTCATTTTCTGATAGTGTTCTCCTTTAACCATGTGAGATGTTGAACTTTTCATTTCTGTTTGCTCATCACCAGAACTCACAAAAAAGGATTTGAACTTCTTGTCAGTGCACAATATCTTTCATGGTACACACAAAGCTGTCTGTATGGAAGCTTGCGAAGGTTTTCAATAGAAGCAAACTTTGCAATGTGCCACAAAGATGAAGAAATCTGGATTCTAATTTACAAAAGAAACTAATTTTTACAATGCTGAACCCTTCATAAGAAACCATCTGCTTTCAGCATATCTTGCTTCAATAGGCCACCACTTTGATCCTCTGAAGAGGAACAATGTCGTGTGTGTAACTAGATCCCAATTTGCTTAGCTTCAAATGTTAAAACACAAACCTTGAGTTCTGGTCTGTATCTTAAATGTAATTAGTACATTTTTTAAACAAGTTTCTGTAATGAGACAGGTTGTTTAGCTACAGCTGCACCATGATTATCCAAAGGAAATCAGGAGCTTAAAAGCATCCGGTTTACATAAACGTGCTGCAAAGTAAAGTTGTGTTACTGTCTTTCATTTGGGGTGACAAGGTCTTTCCTCATTCTCATGGTTTCATCAGTGGTTTCAACTATCTTACCTGTAATGTGGCTGAGATCTGTACACTCACTTATTCATCTTCCAGTTGGAACAGTGGGAATAGGTGAGTTCTCCTCAGAGAATCTTATAACAGTGTGTTTACAGGTAGCTTATCACCCTTCCATCAACCACCTGGACAGCACTTTGACATGCAAACTTTTAGGTAACAGCATGGACTGTTTGCTCTTGGGCCATAATGATAAAAGTTGCTTTGAGAACTACAATACTGAGCTCCTACAAATCTCCATCTACCCAAAAATTCTCTCCTGTAAATACGATTTTATTACTCTTCCAAGTTTTTTTTCTTAGCATTCACAAGAGCTTCTCAAATACCCTTTGCATTTTCAGAGTGTGCAGAGGGCACAACCTTCTGCATGGAAAGTGAAATCACAAGACAGTGATTAAAACAAATAATTGTTTTAATCCATTATCTTTCCTTTGCCTGTGCAGTGTCATAACTAATCACACCTAACATGAATGGTTTTTATATCTGAACATCTCTGAGACTTTCTAAGGACTTTGTGCTGGCTGTAAGATTTCCTTCACGTGAGGAAATAGTTTCTTTGTCAAAAGCCTTTCAGTTTAAATATATAATGAAAACCAAAATATAAGTTCCCAATGGAGTAAAAGGCATGAAGTAGTGGGAAGAGGAGTGTAGTCATATTATATAAATATCTAGGCATCATTATTATAGTCCTGCATCTCATACTCTTTGATTCTAGAATCTTATAGTGTTCAAGAATATTACAATAAAAAACCCTTGTCCTCTATGTCTCATCATAAGAAAAAGTGCAGTAGATTATTCTATGCCCAACTGATGTGGTGGAGGTGCTTTTCATGGGTGTGTATGTGTACCAGTTTTACTGACTTTGCTGTGGAGGAACTCGAACTTCTCATAATACTTCTCATAATCATCCACTTTATGTAGTGGATAGAGTAGCAAAATAATTTTAGTCATTCAGAAATGTCACACTGCTTATTCCACACAAGATCCTAGATGTATAGTCACTTTCCTTTCTGCCTTGATTTGTTTTTATTTGGATACCTCTGCAATTAACATGCCTTGGAGTTAGACTCAGATTAGAAGCTGAATTATTTTTAAGCTTCTGTTTTACGTGCAAAGCTCTCCTCTTAAAATCAATTTAAATTTATTTAATGGAAGAAAATCTTTCTTGTTTGCAGTGGCTTGATAAGGTGGAACTTTTCCAGAGGAAAGAAATGAAATACAGATTTCTGGGGGGAGTGCTAGGTTCAGGAAATGCAAGATGACCCTTCTTACTGTCTGAACCTCATCTATTTAGTATTTGTCTGGACTTCTTAACCTGCCTTGGGGGCCCCTTGTCCTATATTGTTGTGATGAGTAATGAAATGTCACTGCTGTAAGTATTGCCCATTTGTCACGAACATTAAATGTATTCACAAATTGACTGAATAGAAACTTGGTGCTTCCAAACAGGAAGGTGTGCTTTCTCCACTGTATGGTGTCAGTTTCCAAATAACAGTTTGGTTACTCTCAAGGTATGTTTAGACTCGTACCTGTACGTATACATATATTTTTGGAATGGCTTCTTTTTTTAATCTTACAGGGGGAGAAAGCTAGAGAATCCTTTGTCATCTGAGATTTTATAAAATAATTCAAAACTGAATATGTGTTTTAGTTTCACTGTCCATGATAAAGGCCCTTTGCTTGTTAGGTAGTTGTAGAATAGAGTTTGTTTCCTTACCATTTTAGTCAATGAAAAGGTA